GCCGGGACCGGCAGCAACGCCTACCACATCGAGCGCCTCATGTCCTTCCGCCCCGTCTGCTCCGCTGTGAGTGCCCCGGCTTCCAGAGAGCCCTTGTGTCCCTGATCCCATTCAAGTGTCCCAGGCAATAGCACCAGGCCAAGGGAGCGGGGCCAGGAAGGGCAAACGCAGCTATGCCAGGGGCTGTATGGGTGGCAGAGGCTCCTTGGGGTGGGCTCAGCTCTTCCCCTCCCCATGCCCAGCAGGATTTCCTCTTTTTATCCTGTTATTTAAAGCTTTTAAGGGTACTTCTGGGCATCTGCATGTGACTAGAGCTAGGGATCAACTTGCCTGAAATGGGAGCTGTGGCCCAGCTCTCACTGTGGCCCAGCATCACCCTGCTCAACATCTCCACACAGTTGGGCTTTAGGAAAACCACCCTCATGCCCTAGAAAAGACAAAGCCCAGGGTCTGAACACCTCCTTCCCCATGAAACCCTCCGAGCAATGCCATAGGGAGGAACAGCCCTTGCCCCGTGTCCCCATCCAGGCCATGGAGGGAACACCACCTCACCCTTACCCCTGCTCTTCCCCCAGAACCACAAGGAATCCAGGATCACCATCTTCGAGAAGGACAACTTCATCGGCCGCCAGTGGGAGATCGCTGATGACTACCCCTCGCTGCAGGCCATGGGCTGGGCCAACAACGAAGTGGGCTCCATGAAGATCCCGTGTGGCGCGTAAGTGACGGGCAAAGCACCACGAGCAGCAGAGACAAGCTGCTGCCATCACTGTGCTACTACAGCCAGAGGGGGGACACCCCATAACCCCCTTGCTTACCTCTTGTTGGCCTTAACGGCTGCCTGGTGACTCCTTCTCTTCCAGCTGGGTTTGCTACCAGTACCCCGGGTACCGTGGCTACCAGTACGTCCTGGAGTCCGACCACCACGGAGGAGACTACAAGCACTGGAGGGAGTGGGGGTCACACGCCCAGACCTCCCAGATCCAATCCATCAGGCGTGTCCAGCAGTAGCTCCCCACTTCCCAGTACATCTTTGCAAGGTTTCTAAAGCTCACTGGCTCCCTTTTGGTGCTAATACTCCCCTCCCAAAATAACCACCCCTTCTTGTACTGCAACTGCTTATGGAACAACATTCCCCAATGGTACCGACTGCCACAACTGCCAATAAATGTGACTGAAAGAAAGACAAACCAGCTTGGTGGGTGTCTGCTGTTCATAGAATGGTTTGGGTTGGAAAGGACATTAAAGCTCCTCCAGCTCCAACCCCTGCCATGGGCAGGGACACCTTCCACTGGAGCAGGTTGCTCCAAGCCCCTGTGTCCAACCTGGCCTTGAACACTGCCAGGGATGGGGCAGCCACAGCTTCTCTGGGCACCCTGTGCCAGCGCCTCAGCACCCTCCCAGGGAAGAGCTTCTGCTTCAGAGCTCATCTCAATCTCCCCTCTGGCAGGTTAAAGCCATTCCCCTTGGCCTGTCCCTACATCCCTTGTCCAAAGCCCCTCTCCAGGTTTCCTGTAGCCCCTTTAGGCACTGGAGCTGCTCTAAGGTCTCCCCTTAAGGAGCCTTCCCTTCTCCAGCTGCCCCAGCCTCCAGAGACGAGCTGCTCCGTGGAGCAGCTCCGTGGCCTCCTCTGGACTCGCTCCAGCAGCTCCACGTCCCTCCTGTGTCTGTTGTGTGTCTGGGATTGCAGTCACACATCCCCACCCAGGAGCAAGGACCAGACTCCCTTTCAGTCCCTGTCTCTCACACACAAACACAGCAGCCAAACCCTTGATGCAGGTCCACAGCCATGTGGCTTCTCTTCCTCCCTGCCCTCCCCTTCCCCTGCCAACGGAAAGGACATTGAACTCCTCGTTCCACTGAGCCCCACTGGCCATGGGCTGCACTGCCCTTATGCTTCATGGCCCGTGTTGTTTGGCCTAAGGGAGCAGAAGTGGAGTCTTCATCCCCGCAGCACCCCTAGGTCAAGGGATGCTCCCTGAGAGCGCAGAACAGAACCTCACACCGACACCCACAAACTTTAAAACTTTTATTCAACAATTTACATCACTTATTGTCTGTCTTAACGTATTCGATCTACACAAATTTCTGGTTTTTCTGGTTTTTTTTCCTGATAAAATAATAAAATTTGGATAAATTTTGAAGACCTGTTGGTGCAGAATAAACAAAATTCCAGGTAATTTTTTTCTTTTTTTTTTTTGTTTCTTTTTTTTCTTTTTTTTTTCTTTTTTTTTTAAACACTTAGTGTGAAGTATGACATCATTGGTAAAGATAACATCATGCCATTACAGCTCATGGACATCACCTATCCTTACAGTCCTTGACATCACCCATTCCAGCGCAAA